TTTGTCGAGGAATTTCGCCTGTTCATGTTATTCGCTAAATTTGGTTTTAGCTATTTTTAGCTATACTTGCTACCCTTACCAACTCAGCTATTTTTAGCTATACTTACTATACATAGCTATTTTTAGCTATACTTGCTATTTTTAGCTATACTTGCTACCCTTACCAACGCAGCTAGGCCGCTGGATGGCATGTTGGAAAATTGGTGTTCTCATTGGGGGGGTAAAAAAGCAAAAAACAAAAACTGATGATGAGACTCATGAGAGATTGTTTCGTCGGACTTGCACCGACTCATCAGGAGGATGAACACTCGACAATCTGCGGAATCAGTATCTTGATGCTTCGGGTCATGAACCCTTTTGACCCTTGTTGGAAGCAGACTGCCAGCAGGCAACATCACAAGCAGAACATAGCAGCTGGCAGCGACTCGGCAAAGCACCTGGCAAAGCTGCCAGGGTAACCCAACTGCACAACATCAAAGCTAACCGCATGGAACGACAGCGCAAGAGGACGGGCAGCATCGCAACAACACAGCAAAGCGCAAGACGACACTGCCAAAGTAGTCGTTCCACATGGCACACAAGCAAAGATGCATGGGAAGACAAGGCTCGCGGACGGGCAGCAAGGCAGCAAGGCAACGCTGCTTGCACGGAGGAGGGTTGAGGCCCAGAGGTACAGATCCAATAACATTGGAAAGCTCCCGTGTTGAAGTCCCGCATGAGTGAGCGGGCTATACTACCGATGGGGGTCATGTGCTACTTGGAGCGAAGTGTGTGGGATTGTCAGCGTCCGTGTGGTGTTGCGTATGGTGTGCGTCGAGTTTGGACACTATAGCCTTGCAGGGGTGGGGCAGATATCACAGCACCATGTCCTGGTTGTAGTGGTTACGATGCTTGGCTCTTGAGGCCGAGGTCACACGAAGGAGGGCTGAGGCCCAGAGATACAGATCCAATGACAATAACACCGCAGTGAAGCACAAGGCGAAGCAGGATGAAGAGCAAGGCAGCAGCGGAGCACAGACAAGGCAGTCCACACATCCAACACAAAGCGAAGCACGAGATCTACTACTCACACCACGAGTGGGCCCCGCAGACTGTTCGCTCCCACTACCCATTGAGTCGTGGAGTCACTCCGACGAACGTTCATCATGGCCAACCTTTTATTTATTTATTTTTTTTAATTTCAATGTTGGCCAACCCTTGTATGGGAGCGTATGCATCCATGGGAAGAGTGTGGGGACCACAAGTATGACACCAAGCTGTGGTGGCCACTCCTACAAAGAAGGCAGGTACCATGCTGTGGGACCCTTCGTAACAGGTGAATCCTGTTCCACTTCGGGGGCTAAAGGCTCCCACAGGCCGGCTTTGTCATCTGGGACCTGGGTACGGCCCTTTGTGATTCCTAATATGGGCTATTCTCATACCCACTATGGGCCCATGTTGGACCCTTGTTGACCCAATAGCACCGCTTGTTGGTCGCAATAGGGCTGCTTGTTGGCCTCAACAGGGCGCCTTGTTTGTCGTCATACCCAGCCCTTGTTGGTCCACTTATGGGGGCTATCGTTGGGCCCAATTTGGGTCCCTGTTAGTCCCAATGTGGGACCTTGTCGGACTCTATGTATGGGCGCTTATGTGTTCCCTCTGAGGGTTCGTTGGTCACCATAACCAGTCTTGTTGGTCCTCATACTTGGCCCTTGTTGGTCCTGATACCCAGCCATGTTGGTCTCATCAGGGGCTTTTGTTGGCCTGAATATAGGCCAGTGGTAGTCCCAATGTGTGACCTTTTTGGTCTCTATACATGGGCCCTTCCGTGGTCCGTTTATGGGGCCCTTCTTGATCTCATTCTTCACCAGCTCAGCCCATCTGGCTAGAGGGATGCGCAAAATCCAAATTGCTCGGTCAGTTTATCAGGGCCTCTTCAAAAAGACAGTGCCTTCAACCCTTCGAGCGTGTCAGGGTCCTCATTCTCCAAGTGAGTGCAATACACCACCGCCGCCTCTTTACCATCAAACCCATTGGAGATACCGTTCATACCCGGTGTTCAATCGAGACACGTGAACAGCCTGCAGCCAGCCAACCCAGCTGCTCTTGCTCTGCAGATGGCCATGTGGGTCTGTTCCAGTTCCCTGTGTTGATCCTACGAGTCACGATGCGAGCGCCCCCTGAGGTTCCTCGCTCGGCACCAACAGGTATGGCCGCGACGATTTGCATGGTCCAATCTATATTGATACGGAAGGCGAGGATGATGATGATGGCAAAGCCCATGATGGGTTCGACGTGCGTCTCATCGCAACAGGGAAAAGGTTCCCTGTACCCCTCCCTGTACTTGCCGTTCTCGCCGATTCGTCTGACCTGCCGTACTTCCATTGGTGCTATGCCCCCAGCGTCACCTCTCTGCCGTCTCCTCCTGCATTCTCCCAATAGCTGTCACAATCATTACCGCGGTTGCCTTCATCCCACCAATCAACCTTGTCCCTGCTTGTTTCCCATTTGGTTTGGACCCCCTTCCTTTGTCATTCTCTCGCTGATTCAGTTGACCTGACTAATTCTGTTGTTGCAACCTCGGCAGGCATAGCTTTCCTGTCGGCGCTACCTTCTTCCGATTGCAATTCCAATTCTGCTGATTTCGCCCCTCCAAGCAACAATGTGAGTTCGTCAGGGGTCAAGACCTTTGCATCTCCTGTCAACCCATGCCCTTGTAACTGCTCGTCCGTCGGGACACAGCCATCAACATGCATCTTCGTCCAAAGATCCAGTGCTTCAGAGTACATGGATGCATCGCAAAGGCCTCGCAGCATTTCCAAATACCCATACAGTGTGGGCCGTATGCGTCGACCTTCCATTTCTTCCCTTGCTTTGGCTGCCTCTTCCGCAAGCCCAACACGGGCATAGGAATTGTGCAAGGACACGTAGGTGCTTTCTACGCTACGAATCCCCTCCATTTCCATCACTACAAACACTCGTCTGGCGTCGTCGAACCGACCGACACGACTGTATGCGTCGATCAACGTTGTGTACGTCAAAGACCCTGGGGACTCCATATGGCGCTTCACGTGTCGTTGAACTCCTTCAGGTCCTTGTGCAAGTGCTGCCTCTTTCATCTTTATTTTCGAGTCAGCGCGCTCGAATGATCGCACGAGCTCCGCCGCCTTCTCCCAGGCTCCGAACAACCTAGCAGCTCTCACGACTGTCGCCATCGCAACATCATCTATCAAATCGAGGCCCCTCCGTCGCCGACAAATGTGTTTGGGGACATGTTGGGATTGGCTACCCGAACGCTTCTTGCTGGCATTACCACCAGAATGCTCTCCTGAAGTTACAAGGTCTACGTCATGCTCGTCAACCTCCATGATTTCCCCTATCTCCATACCCAATCTATCACTCACGGCTGTACCCCACATTTGTTCGAACGTTTGAATCGCTTTGTCGGTGTCGCCGGTACGGCCATACGCTTCAATCAGAGATGTGAAGGCATTTCGGCTGGGTCGGAACCTGTGCTGCAGGAGTTCATCGAAGATACGCTGAGCATCATCGGCACGCACTGCTCGTCCATAGGCGTTGACCAGCGCGGTATACGCTGGCAAATGAGGACGCTCGCAAGAGGAGAGCATGGCCCTTAGTGCTGCCTCAGCTCTCGTYGGATTTCTCGACCGCCCTTGCGCGATTATCARAGCCGTCCATGTCTTCTTGTCAGGAGTCATCCCCCTRTATAGCATGTCACCAACCAACTCCTCTGCCTCTTCGCCTCGTCCTTGGCGCCCAAGATTAGTTATCCGGACAGTGAAAGACACAGGATCATGCAGCAAGCCTGCACGTTCGATATCCCCGAACACGCGTTCGGCATCAGAAAAGCGCATCATCTTTCCATATTTTTCCATTAATTTTGTGTAGTCTCGTACGCTTGCTTCGAACCGTTCCTCGCGTATTGCCCACTCTAGTGCCTGCCAGCAGCACAGAGCAGTCAACAGGTAACAGTGGTATGTCAGAGATTTCACGTTGACGTCATCACATCATCTTGACCAGCCAATCTCATCATC